GGAATCTGATCTGCCTCGGGCATGTCCACCTCAATAGTGAGATTAGGTCTCAGGCTCTGGAGCCAAAGTTTGGGAGGTCAATTCCTCACACGGCCTCCTCGAAAGGAGCTGAACTTGATGATCCATAGGGCAGGGTCCCTTCCAGCTGTGCAGTTCTCAGATTGTGATGATAATGATATTCCTAGAGAACAACAGTCATAAGTTATTCATACTTTCCTTTCCTCGGTGCTATAGAGGTAAAGGGACGTGGTAAAGGGATGTGGTGGCGCTGCGGAATCCATGCGACGGAGTGAGCTCCCGTCGCTCGTCCCAGCTCCTGCCAAACTAGCAGTGTGAAAGCATGTAAAAATGCGAGTCGGTAAATAGGGACCACCTCGGTGGGAAAGTCACGGCGTTCTGTGTCTAGTCGCGCTGGCCACGTGACCATGGAAGCAGCCTACGGACAAATGCTCGCTCTATGGCTTGGAGACTGGGATGAGCACCGCGCTCTAGAGTCGGACACAACTGGACTTAATGTCAACGGGAACCTTTTACCTTTACGACTAAATGTCAAGGGGAACCTTTTACCTCTGGCTATGGAGGTAACACTGGGCTACACTCCATGGTTGTTGGAAAATATGTTCTCTGTCTTGCTCTTTCTCTCTTTTTTTGCTCCCTTTCTGTCCTCTCTTCACCAGGGACAGAATTTAAGGAGGTCCAGAGGCAGACCATCAAATTATTTTCAAGGCATTCCCCAGGCTACCTATTTGTCATTTTTATGTCGGAGTCTCAATAAACGAAGACGGTTTGTGACAGGTCAACAGAAAACAACAAACAATAGAAATATTCAGGAAATCCAGGGAATTAGTGGCATCTTTGTTATGGCTGCTTTTTCTTAGCCTGTTTTCTGCTGCTGCATTTGTGTAGGATTGAATATGTATGGGATTGAACATTCAGAGAGTGGATAAAATCTCCTCTATTTGTGGCGCCACCTATAATTCTTCAGCTCTTATTTTTGGTCTTCTGTGAGAAAGCTACATTTTTGGATCAGCGCTTGCAAAATCCTTGACCACGGTCCATATGGGCTGGTGAGGTCTAGGACCTGAAGGCCGAAGGAATACCTTTTCCATGGTGTTGGTCTGAATTGGAATAGCAGAAAGATAGCAGACGTTTCCACTCTTCAGTTGGGGGGGCACTACGTCCTTGAATGACAGAACTGTAAAAGAATGTGCCACTTCTATCCAAACACGAAAAAGCAAACAATTCGCACCAGCTTTCGTGGAAGGAAAACAACGGCTCCGTCAGGCAAACACCAGGGACTACTGCAGGGAAAAAAAACTATAGATGTCCCGAAAATACATGGCAAAGATAGGCAGGCATCATCCTCTTAAGGTGCATTTAAAGCTGGTTGCAGGCATAGAAAAGTCCAAAAGTTTAAAAGATTTTCACCCCGACTGTCTCCTTTGAAATGACTCAAGGCGGCTTACCGCCTTCAAAGACAATATTCTAAAACTAAAAACAGCACGTATAGAAATTACCACACCAAAAAAATGATAAACACAATCAACAGCAAAAGCAAATCCAAAGCAGTAAGGCACATTTACGAAGCCCTCTCAGCCAGCCAGTCATTGAGAGAAAGTGGTTTGTATTGTTTACCACCAAATCAGGTTCGACACACGTTTTACAGAAAATACAAATAAACCACAAAGCCAATATTTATTCGTATTGCTGCCAAGTCTGGTGACCAAACCTAATAGCTCTTATAACCACCATAAATCCCGATTGAAGCTATAGAGACCTAGACACTGCTGAGTTAAATCACATACAGTATACTTAAAAAGAGGTATTTCAAAATTCACTTGTAAAACTGTCATAATAACGTCAAATGCATTTAAAACTAGATCTTGTCTGTGAACTGTGGAGTTGTAAAAAAAAAGTTTAATAGTCTCATTAGCATTTTTAACATAGGCAATAATTCTGTGGCAGCGGGTTACGTTTGCATCCTGTAACTTCCCAATTTGCTAGAACTTAAAATGATCCCTGGAGAAAAATGGAATCACAAAGGGATATTTAATAAGGAACTTCCACAGTAATCCAAGTTTATGCACCAACCGCCATTGCTGAGAAGACTGAAATTGAACAATTCTATGAAGATTTACAACACCTTCTAGAACTGACACCGAAGAAGGATGTTCTTCTCATTCTAGGGGACTGGAATGCTAAGGTAGGGAGCCAAGAGATAAAAGGAACAACAGGGAAGTTTGGCCTTGGAGTTCAGAACGAAGCAGGGCAAAGGCTAATAGAGTTTTGTCAAGAGAACAAGCTGGTCATCACAAACACTCTTTTCTAACAACACTAGAGGTGACTCTACACATGGACATCATCAGATGGGCAATACCGAAATCAGTTTGATTACCAGGTTTTAAACCCACAAGAAGAAGAAGGAAAAGATGATGTAGAGAACAGCTTCATATTTGGCCTATCGTACCCCAGATGATGAATGTGTTCTGCCATGGGTTTAAACGCCTGTCGGTAGTTATCAGAGACCTCCCCAGCTTCAGAGTCTTAGATCTTGGCCATCAGCTGTTGCTGGACTACTTCCTCTACAACGTATTTGGGAGATTCCAAATGATGGAGATTTCATCCCACATGCGTTCTACTTTGGAAAACAAATCCAGATAATTTGCAGATTTTGTTGTTGTTGGGATATGGTGAAGGAAGATACCGAGAAGCTAAAGCTGACCTATAATAGCCTTATCTACAATAGTTTTATCCTTTCTGTGTCTGACACAGATATTAAAATACTAATAAACCAAAGAAGTAGCAGGGAGAGCAATGCAACAGAGAGAACACCTTTTTAAGAATATCATGGCTGGAACCCCATTTGCTCATGGGATAGCATAAGGGCAACTGTGTTAGCATTTGTTCCCCTCTGGCAGGCTCTCCTTTGAACACATGGGTCACTCACCCCCTCAATGCAAAATGGGTCACATTGTCACTCACATGACTTATGTACAGAGAGGAAGGCGTTGGGAGAAGCTGTGAGGTTGTCTTTATAGGCAACTTTATAGACTGACCAACGAAGAATTGATGCTTTTGAATTGTGGTGCTGGAGGAGACTCTTGAGAGTTCCCTGGACTGCAAAGAGAACAAACCTATTTCCTTTTTTTAAGGAAATCAACCCTGAGTGCTCACTGAAAGGACAGATCCTGAAGCTGAGGCTCCAATCCTTTGGCCATCTCGTGAGAAGAGAAATCTCCCTGGAAAAGACCCTGATGTTGGGAACGTGTGAAGGCAAGAGGAGAAGGGGACGACAGAGGATGAGATGGCTGGACAGGGTCATTGAAGCCACCAACATTAATTTGACCCAATTCTGGGAGGCAGTGGAAGACAGGAGGGCCTGGCGTGCTCTGATCCATGGGGTCACGAAGAGTCAGACGCAACTTAACAAATAAACAACAAACAAAAATGATTAACCAATCTATCTATGTTCAGTTAACACAGATAGATTAGCTAGCCATGCATTAATTCCATTGAAATGTTCTGCAGGGGTCATTCAAATTTTTTTTTAAATAAAGTCTGTCAACATATTGGTAAAAGGGGGGGCATCTGCAGGCCCCCCCATAAAAAATTTTGCAAATAATTTTCAAAATGTAACTTTCATGCCTGAATTTGTGCTGAAGATGATGGTTTAAGACCTGTTATCTCATATCTGATTGTTGGCGTGTTTTTTGGTTTGTTTGCTTGCTTTGGTTTTGCAGTTGTGTCCTGTGGTGTGTCCTTGAAAAGCTTGCTCAAAACCTTCCCTCTTTTTTCTTTTATATACATCTGTGTCTCTTGTCCAAACCGCATTTCCGTCGTATTAAAACTGGAAGGTTTTGCGGCTGAGCTCGGCCTAGCTCCACCTCAGCTTCCTGTTCCTGCCCCAGTGCTAGCTGGGAACTTTCTCCTCGCCTAGAGCCCGGCCTAGCTAAATCTCAGATTTCAAAAGGTCCAGAGGGAGGGAGCCCGGCTGTAGCCATCACCCGCATCTACCAATGAGAGCTGCCGGGAGGCGGAGCCAGAGAAACGAGAAGGGAGGGGCAAGTCAGCGTCTAGGGAGTTGAGTCAGGGACAGAGAAGAGAAGAAAGTTTGGGGTTCAAGGCAGAGAGAAAGTGTTTAAGGAGTGATTAGTCAGAGTGTGAACTGTATTAAGACAGAAGAGGTTAAAAGTAAAATACTGAAGCTTGTTGTAACTTTAAGAAGATACTTAAGAACTATTCCTAAAATAATGTGTAATCAATAAACCTGTTTCTGTTTAAAAGTTACCTCCTGAATGGGCCTCTGTCTTTCATAGGAAATATAGGTTGATAAAGAGATCAGTGGGTGGCAGCGTGTTAAAGGGCGTGTTGGCATACCGTCGTGATCTCTGGATTTGGTGAAACAAGCAGGGGCAACTGGGGGGGTAAACACCACCTCGGCATATCTCAACAAGCAATGCCCTCCCTAACCTAGCGGCCACCACCAAGAATGCCCTGTCCCCGGGGGGTCGTTTTCCAGGCTTCGCCTGCAAAGGTGAACCCTGGGCAGACTGAGTAGACGATCTTAAGGAGAAGGGCTCCGACAGGCGGCAAGGTCCCAAACCATTTGCGGGCCTTACCCGTTAGCGCAGGCACTTTAAATTCGGCACAGAAGCAAACAGGAAGCCAATGCACATGCACCAGAATTGGGTTGCAGGCATTGGTCTTCGTGACGGTGGACCGGGGTGGCTAGGGAGTAGAGTGATGAGGCTGCTAATGCCACCGTAGATACCGGCGCCAGCTGCAAAAGTGTGGAAATAGATGTGTAGGCTAGAAAGCCACCTGGCGTGCAACACTCATATAGTCTTGTCTAGCACAGCTTGTGCTGATGCTTGTCTTCCCAGCGAAAGGAGCAGAGGGGTTCATGGAGATGCCCGCCAGCCGCCTTAGACGAGACGAGTTACATCTGGGCGGGCTGCCCATCACCATCGCCCTGGCCTGCTTCTTCCCCCACCCACCCCCTTGCCTGCTATATTTCCGTTTTCCCTTTCCAACCCAAGGTGCAAAAGGCATCACAATCGGAAGGTGTGCCCATTCTGTAACAGCTGATTGGTTCCTTTCGTTTTCCCATCAGGGCAGTGCGGCAGCCCCCCACCTATGGCCAATGCGCACATCGCCGAAGGGGCCACCGGCACCCGCTTGCGTTACTCGTGCGCGAAGAATTACAAGCGCCAAGCGGGCACCTCCAGCCTCGTTGTGTGCAAGTACAACGAAATGTCGAAGAAGCCCGAATGGACACGGCCGAATATAAACTGCATCAGTAAGTCGCTGCTCATATTAGATCAAATAAGTGGGTGCTAGTTCTCATGAAACCTGGATTTATTTATTTATTTTTCCTAGCAAATGACCAAAATGTGGCTGTTGTACTTTGGAGAGAAAATGAGCTTCATTTGAAAAGACAATCGTGTGGGAGAAGTCGAAGGTAGTAGGAAAAGAGGAAGACCAAACGGGAGGTGGATTGGCTCCATGAAGGAACCACAACTTTTGGGTTGTAAGACCTGAATAGGGATGTAAATGATCCTGGACATCCACAAAGGCCATCGCTTGGAAAATTTCCTGGGGGGGACTCTCATTCCCAGAATCCCCCACTAGCATGCTTAGCGTGGATGTTGGGAATTGTAGTCATCCAAAGGGACTTTTCCAGGCTTTGAGAGAGATCTTCCGAGATCTCTGAGTGGGAGAAGAGCGATGGCGTTTCTGATTGCCGTTCTCAAGCTGTGAAGCTTCTTGCTAAGGAGGTTCACTTGACCGCCTCTTTGACAGCCTCGCTCAAGAGTTTAGATGCCAACTAGGGGAGAATTCAGGTGCGCAAGGGAATGTGAAGCAGCCTTTGTTAATCTGAGTATATTGAACTCTCTTGATGGGACTGGGGTTGCATGAGCACAGCCAGCACCTATTGGCTAGTACCTGGTCCATCACTGGCTATGAAGAACACCGTCATTCAGAGTCGAACTTGAGGAACTCTATAACTTTCTGGATTCCATCTCCAGCCATGGCCGGTCATGACCATGGCACATGGGGTGTTCTGGAAGCTGTCCTCCCTAAAATTAACTCTTCCAATTTCTTTTCCCACCACGGCAGTGCCATTTTGCAACCTTCCCTAGAAACACCTCCAAATAAGTTTGGTTTTAAAAATTAAAGGATTGGCAAACTTTCAGTCTGTTTGATGATCATGCCCCCCCCGT